ACACAGTACACAACTAGATGGTTTAACTTGACACAGTGTACAACTAGATGGTTTAACTACACAGTTTAAAAGTAGATAGTTTAATTCTACACAGTGCACAACTAAATGGTTTAACTCTACACAGTGTACAAGCAGATGGTTTAACTCTACACAGAGCACAACTAGATGGTTTAACTCTACACAGTGTACAACTAGATGGTTTAATTCTACACAGTGCACAAGTAGATGGTTTAACTCTACACAGTGCACAACTAGATGGTTTTACTCTACAATGTGTACAGCTAGATGGTTTAACTCTACACAGTGTACAACCAGATGGTTTAACTCTATACAGTGTACAACTAGATGGTTTAATTCTACAGTGTACGACTAGATGGTTTAACTCTTCACAGTTTAAAAGTAGATGGTTTAATTCTACACAGTGCACAAGTAAATGGTTTAACTCTACAGAGTGCACAACTAGATGGTTTAATTCTACACAGTGCACAACTAGATGGTTTAACTACACAGAGCACAACTAGATGGTTTATTCTACACAGTGCACAACTGGATGGTTTAATTATACACAGTAAACAAATAGATGGTTTGACTATACACAGTACACAACTAGATGGTTTAACTATACAGTGTACAACTAGATGGTTTAACTCTATACAGTGCACAACTAGATGGTTTATTCTACACAGTGCACAACTAGATGGTTTGACTATACACAGTACACAACTAGATGGTTTGACTCTACACAGTACACAACTGGATGGTTTAACTCTACACAGTGTACAAGTAGATGGTTTAACTCTACACAGTGTACAAGCAGATGGTTTAACTCTACACAGAGCACAACTACATAGTTTAACTCTACACAGTGTACAAGTAGATGGTTTAACTCTACACAGTACATAACTAGATGGTTTAACTCTACACAGTACACAACTGGATGGTTTAACTCTACACAGTGTACAAGTAGATTGTTTAACTCTACACAGTGTACAACTAGATGGTTTAATTCTACACAGTGTACAGCTAGATGGTTTAGTGCTACAGTGTACAACTAGATGGTTTAACTCTACAATGTGTACAACTAGATGGTTTAACTCTACAATGTGTACAACTAGATGGTTTTACTCTACAATGTGTACAACTAGATGGTTTAACTCTACAATGTGTACAACTAGATGGTTTAACTCTAAAATGTGTACAACTAGATGGTTTAACTCTACAGTGTAAAAGTAGATGGTTTAACTCTACACATTACACAATTAGATGGTTTATCTCTACACAGTGCACAACTAGATGGTTTAATTCTACACAGTGCACAACTAGATGGTTTGACTCTACAGAGTGCACAACTAGAGGGTTTAATTCTACACAGTGCAGAACTAAATGGTTTAACTCTACAGAGTGCACAACTAGATCGTTTAATTCTACACAGTGCAAAACTAAATGGTTTAACTCTACACAGAGCACAACTAGATGGTTTAACTATACAGTGTACAACTAGATAGTTTAACTCTACACAGTGCACAACTAGATGGTTTAACTCTACACAGTGCACAACTAGATGGTTTAACTCTACACAGAGCACAACTAGATGGTTTGACTCTACACAGTACACAAGTAGATGGTTTATTCTACACAGTGCACAACTAGAGAGTTTAATTCTACACAGTGCACAACTAAATGGTTTAACTCTACAGAGTGCACAACTAGATGGTTTAATTCTACACAGTGCAAAACTAAATGGTTTAACTCTACACAGAGCACAACTAGATGGTTTAACTCTACACAGTGTACAACGAGATGGTTTAACTCTACACAGTGCACAACTAGATGGTTTAACTCTACACAGTGCACACCTAGATGGTTTAAGTATACAGTGTACAACTAGATGGCTTTATTCTACACAGTGCACAACAAGATGGTTTAACTCTACACAGTGCACAACTAGATGGTTGAATTATACACAGTACAAAACTAGATGGTTTGACTCTACAGAGTGCACAACTAGATGGTTTATTCTACACAGTGCACAACTAGATGGTTTAATTATACACAGTGCACAACTAGATGGTTTAACTACACAGAGTCCACAACGAGATGGTTTAACTCTACAATGTGTACAACTAGATGGTTTAACTCTACAGTGTACAACTAGATGGTTTTACTCTACAATGTGTACAACTAGATGGTTTAACTCTACACAATGCACAACTAGATGGTTTAATTCTACACAGTGTACAACTAGATGGTTTAACTCTACAATGTGTACAAGTAGATGGTTTAACTCTACAATGTGTATAACTAGATGGTTTAACTCTACACAGTGCACAACTAGATGGTTTAACTCTACACAGTGCACAACTAGATGGTTTATTGTACACAGTGCACAACTAGATGGTTTAAGTATACAGTGTACAACTAAATGGTTTAACTCTACACAGTGTACAACTAGATGGTTGAACTCTACACAGTGCAAAACTAGATGGTTTAACTCTACACAGTGCACAACTAGATGGTTTAACTCTACACAGTGCACAACTAGATGGTTTAACTATACAGTGTACAACTAGATGGTTTAATTCTACACAGTGCCCAACTAGATGGTTTAATTCTACACAGTTCACAACTAGATGGTTTAATTCTACACAGTTCACAACTAGATGGTTTAATTCTACACAGTGTACAACTAGATGGTTTAATTCTACACAGTGTACAACTAGATGGTTTAGTTCTACACAGTGCACAACTAGATGGTTTATTCTACACAGTGCACAACTAGATGGTTTAACTCTACACAGAGCACAACTAGATGGTTTATTTCTACACAGTGCACACCTAGATGGTTTATTCTACACAGTGCCCAACTAGATGGTTTATTCTACACAGTGCACAACTAGATGGTTTAACCCTACACAGAGCACAACTAGATGGTTTAATTCTACACAGTGCACAACTAGATGGTTTATTCTACACAGTGCACAACTATATGGTTTAATTCTACACAGTGCCCAACTAGATGGTTTAATTCCACACATGATGCTGAATAATAATGTAGCATTTTCATCACATTTCAAAAATTTAGTTCTTGTTGTTGCTTTAAGTGTTCTTTCTTGGCAATTTCAGCTGACCTGTCCCTCTGTGGGCTCAAATGTGTGAGTAGGGTAGGTGTTTGATTTTTACACTTTTGATTTGATTGCTGCTGTGTTCATATACACGTAAGTATCTTTCAGATAAAGAGTTAGTTTGGCCTTCGCTATTGCATCTTTTGGCTTTAGATCTAACCTTACTCTACAGGACTGCAGTTTATCAATTTGGAATTAATACTTGAGAAGCTGCAGGCCTTGACTAAACTCTTCAAGTCCTGCAGCATATTGTGACAAATAAATTGTCACCTAAATTGCCTACGGGCAGGTGCATATTGCAAACACTGTCCTTAAGATTTTTTCTAAAGTGAGAAAAGGCTGTGTCCAAGTTCCTGCTCAAACCAAGAGGTAAGGTGAGTGTCTCTGTTTTCTGAGATGACATGAAGAAACATGAATGACAAGCTTCGTCTGAAAGGCCTTGTTGAAGGCCCAACTTGACACTGTTGTACCTATCAGCAGGTGTGATCGGTGCATCAAGAGTCTCCGAATCCTGTAGGGGCTGATCTGTGTTGTCCTCAGATTCATGTGGTTGTACAGTCGGTGTAGGTTCAACATCAGCTGAACGAGTCCACAGTGAAAGTGATTGTACCACATAGAAGCAACACATGGATTGAGTGTCATGTCAGGATGCAAGCCACGTTCACCAAGAGCTGTAGACATGGCCTGCACCTAAGCTTAAATATCAGACTGAGTGAACGGAGATAACTGAGTCCGGTGATCCCATGAAGCAGGTATGTGAGGACAATCCTGCTGATCCAGTGATCGATCCCTCCTCTACACTTGCTCCTGCTCTTCTCTGGACGAAGATATGCTTGCTCCCGATCCTGATCCTGACTATCGTCACGCCTGCCATCAAATGACGTAGAGTGATGAATGGTCCGACAATCCTCATCTGGACTGTCACAACTTCTCAAACCAATAGGTTCGTTAAACATGGGCGATGACGACGATTGTCTAGATCCAGGCACCATGTTTTCTCATAAGGCTCAATTCTACAAATAGGTATGGTTCATTATCAAGTAATAACTATCTTATTTAAGGAATAAACAACAAATTTATTCTCCCTGCAGTGTTTTATTGTACGATAAACAATGACCATGAGTCATTTATTTCTTATATGAGATATCAAGATTTTGAACAGTATTTTTAAGGATGTCAATAAATTGTACAAGCTTTAAAAACATTTACCTGTATTTAAATAATGATGACTCCCTGAATACAATCTGACCTCAGCAATGTCTGACAACTTCATTTTTTAAAGTTTAATATTCTCATAATTGTCACGTCAATTATCTGTACCTTTTCTCCCAATACTAATTGTCTTATCTTTCCCACTTTTGGGTGCAATTGTTTGGCCATTTCATTTATCTGCGCTGTCCAGCTACATTTATGGGAACAACTCAATTGACACATCACCCTAAAAAATAACTTGATGATAGAACATGTTTTATCGTAAAATAAACCAGACTTCGTTCTTCATTATTCATTGCAATTTAATGCGTACCTATCTTATATTTGGTCTTTGTGTATATTGTTCATGTAACCTTATCATTGGTACAATTGTAACCTTATATTGTATGTTATGTGGTGGAGGAGTAATGTCTATGTTAGGTACATGTGTAAAAACTGTTTTAATTGTGTTTATTTGTCATATGATACTACATGTAATATTTATATATAATTAATATAATTTATGGCCGTTACTATATTGTTATAATTTTTTCAGAAGAAGTGAGCATATTCTATCCGAACTAAACGATCACGACTCTACAGCGAGACATGTTTCACTTGCTGACATGGCAGTTGTAACAAATCCAAGTTGATCCTACCAGGCTGCTAACTAAGGTGTGAACTGACCATGGAACCATGTTGCTATCTTGTTGTCTCTGTCAAGACCTGCACCGCGAGGCCTCTCCTCCAGCTGGAACCAGGCAACGACTGCTGCACGACCAGGTGGCCGAGACGGTCGGTTTGTCCACCTCTTTATAGACGACCTGTTTGTTAGGTGCTTTCTGTAACAATTCACAAAATGTAAGTAACTGTATAACAAGTAAGCATGCTTCTGTAGGACATGGGCTCTCATAGTATTCCTGGACATGCTACATACTCTAATTGAAAACATGTTACTTAACTCAGCATACACATTCAAACATGCAACACTTCCAAACTTATCCATAAAACTTACAGCAATGTTCACATTGTTTACTGTGAGATAGATAGAGGTAATCACATGACTTGTGTTATTTAGTTTCAAACATGTAGACAGCAACCTAATTAACCGAAGCTTAAAGACAACTTAGGTGGCTATCCACAACAATATTGTCTTAAAATTAAATAAATTTGGAAATTTTAGTATAAATCATATATTTATATACTTATCCTATCTCACACTTTGCATTTCTCCCTTCTTCTTCGATCCTATGTGGGAACGTGCTTGAATTATGTTGCCAGCTTCTAAAACTAAAAATAGCCACCCAAGCCCCCCCCCCCTGCATCTCCATGGTTACGTCCAAAAGCTAGGTCAATTACGTGCCTCTCGTGCACACCGTGCCTGTTTGAACTGACCACGTGTGCGCCTCTACCAATTCATTCTCTTTCGCAGAGCTTAATAGGCTAGAGTAAATGAGATGCGGGGATGGTCGGGTGGGCCTATCGCATGTGAGGTGTGAGATAGGATAAGTATATAAATATACAATTTATACTAAAATTTCCAACTTTTTAAACTTATCCTTTCTCACACTTTGCATTTTATCCCACGGTTGGATGGTGGGCCGCAGATACCCTAGCCTGTATAGACTACAACCATGAGATATGCACGAGGAAGCTGGTTCTAGACAGTGTAATTTTGAATTTGTTTCAGAATTTTAAAAAACTTTCTAGCGTCTAAAGACATGAACTCGTGAGCGGGAAAAAATACACACGATCAATCAGTCTTAATGATCCCGATACGTTACTCAAACGAAACAGCATGAGATCTGGTATACATGCCGAACGTTTTTTCCCGTATGTCATCGTACATATTGAACGACCGCGTAGCTGTAAACGCATAAGCGAAATGGCAGACGACTTGAAATCGATCCTGGAAGGGCATCGGTTCTTCAAACAAACTACAGAAACTATCTCCCACGGACCATAGAGTGCGCTAGGTTTGGTAACTCTTTTAACGCTTTGTCATGGTTATCAAACATGTTCGAGTGTATGAAGCGTACCAAAAACGAGAAGAGGAACGATCGACAGTATTCCATAGCAATGGACCTTCGAACCAAAACCCTACATCACAGATGCCTTAGGCAGAGGTGAGCGGAATAAAGGTTCGGGACACCAATCTTTTTCGTTGTTGTGTTTGTTTTGTTTTGTTTTGATCGGCCGCACCGAATGGTGAATCGTAAATTAAGACTAAAAAGTCTCTACAGATGAGCTAATCCACCCTCCAAAAGGGACTCAATCTGGGAAACCCAAACAATCAAACTTCCAAAAGCACCCTTCCATGATGGTTAAAAGGGTGCAGTTACTTTGGAGGGCCAAGGTGGAAGCAACCACATGAGTCTCGTGAGGATTGGATGTTGTAGGTGGAGGCAGCCCAGCGAAAGTATACGCTCGCAGAATGATGGAGCGGAGCCAGAAGGATGTAGATGTAGATGTAGACGCGGTTGACAATGGGATGAAGTCTCTTCCGGGAACGTCTGTGGAGGTGCGACGCATCGAGATATATTCGAAGCGCTAGAACCGGGCACAAAGAGAGGTCTTCATGGTCGTTCGATCCCAAAATAGCCGAGAGCGGGGGAATCGTAAATAGCCGGTCCAGTTGTCCAGGAAGTTGGTTCTTTGCCACAAAATCCCAACGAAGCCCCAGGAACGCTTAGCCACTTCCGGATCTGTCAAACTGGACCCTAGTGACATCCAAAGCATGAATTTCACTAACCCGTGCGGCAGTGGCTCAAGCCAACAAAAAAACTTCAGCGTAACTGTCTCGAAATCCTTCTCCGTCAGTGGTTCGTAATCACCGGAAACCAGGTGTTGAAGAATAACGTTTAGGTCCCACGAAGGAGGCCGAAAACGAGCAGCTTGGTCGGCTAATTTGTAGGAATGGATGAGCGATTGTAGTCGTAATGACGACCGTATCTCTAGCCCCCAGGGGGGGGTGCAGAGCTAGCCGAATCCAAGAGAGGGACTTTGAAAGGACTGGAGAAATCTGTCGCTGGTATAAAGAGAGCAGGACCCGAGATCAGACTGACCGAGCGCACATCGACCTGCATATCTTGCTTTGGAGTTGTAGACAGGTCGAGAGAGGACAAGTCGTCTGTACAGAAACTGTCTGAGATGGTGTCGTCTGTGACAGAAATTACAGGTTCGATAGGATTGTCTTTAAGGCATGATGAGCTGGTACTAGCTTTGGAATCCCTGGCTTTGGAACGCTGATTGGCAATACGACGACGAAAACATTGCAGATAAACTTTAAAAGCCAAGTTAGTTAGGGAATGACATTCCGCACATCGGGAACCCAGGGTGCACTGTCCCCGACAGTCGCAACATAATGAGTGGGGATCCGACGTGGAATAGGTACGTCTGCATTCTTTACAAGCAGGACGTTGATCGTCCTTCTTTCCCATATTTTTCTATTTAAGATACTCGAACAAACTGGCGAAGGACAATAATTCTGTGATGTTTTCAAACATGTCACCACACGGTGGCGATGAGAAAGAGAATGAATTGGTAGAGGCGCACACGTGGTCAGTTCAAGCAGGCACAGCGTGCACGAGAGGCACGTAATTGACCTAGCTTTTGGACGTAACCATGGAGATGCAGGGGGGGGCTTGGGTGGCTATTTTTAGTTTTAGCAGCTTGAAACATGATTCAAGCACTTTCCCACATATGATTGAAGAAGAAGGGAGAAATGCAAAGTGTGAGATAAGTTTAAAAATATGAATATATTAAGATATTAAGATATTAATATACTTATCCTGATACAACATATTGCAAATTCCCTCTCTTCAATCCCTTAACACAGAACAAAAAAAGAACCATGCCTCTCCACCAGGTCCAAGTTCCCTGGAACCCTCACTTTTCCATTATCTGCAAGCCACGCCAAACCTTTAGACGAGGGAATGTAAATTATTTCTTATCCTGATATACCATGTTGCAAACTTCTTTAGTTCACAAACATTTCCTTTGTCTTCTTTTAGGACTGGGGGGAAGCCTAAAGGTTAAGCGTTTGCTTGGATCCCTGGATCCAATGCCCCACATGGAAAAAATGTGTGAAGCCCATTGCTAGTGTCCCCTTCCGTGATATTGCTGGAATATTGCTTAAAGCAACATATTACCATACTCATTCACTATAGGACTGGGCACAATAAATAAATCTTTTTATCCCAGGACAGCAGACAGTGCAGTAGCACTGTGTAGCAATAAGAGGCCATAGAAGATTAGTAGAAGACAGCATCATGTAGGCTAGTATCGGTGACTGCCTCCTTGCAGGGGAAAATAATCTAGATGACAGCAAGAACTTGGAGAACGCCAAAGCTCTCAAATGTGCTCAAATTGATAAAACATGTTAATACTAGTAGAACATACAGTAGTCACCACAGTGGTGTGGAACAGCTATGGCTATGACAACCCTTCTGCAATGACCTCTTCATGACATCTACTGTCCACCTAGTCGCCTGAAAGAGTCTCACATTGTCAACATTTCTGTTACCCCCAAAACATATTACCGAGATGCACATTTTGGGTTCTGTGTTATTGGATCAAAGAGATAGGGAATTTGCAATAAGCTGTATCAGATTAAGAAATCATTGACATTTACTTTGGAGGCACAGGTGGTCTTTCAGTGTGACTGCCTGCTTTGCCTCTATCAGAAAATGCTCTTGCTGCCTGTATGAGTTGATTTGTCCTCTTCATTGATTCTTTATATTCTTCACGAGCCTTGCGGGCTAATTCACGCATCTTTTGTTCAGCCTCTTTTGATTTTTTTTCTGAAACAAACAATAATTTATGGCTTAATATGTCATATATACCCAGACATAGAACAGTACATAATAAGTAAATTAAAGAGACAAAATAGACTGGGGCTGCTCCCATGTGAATAGTATGATGTCATGGTGAAAAACAGACTCTACACATATCCTGACTGGACTGTGTGTCTAGATACACTTCTCCTGACTGGACTGTGTGTCTAGATACACTTCTCCTGACTGGACTGTGTGTCTAGATACACATCTCCTGACTGGACTGTGTGTCTAGATACACTTCTCCTGAACTGGACTGTGTGTCTAGATACACTTCTCCTGAACTGGACTGTGTGTCTAGATACACGTCTCCTGACTGGACTGTGTGTCTAGATACACTTCTCCTGACTGGACTGTGTGTCTAGATACACGTCTCCTGACTGGACTGTGTGTCTAGATACACTTCTCCTGACTGGACTGTGCGTCTAGATACACTTCTCCTGACTGTACTGTGTATCTAGATACACATCTCTTGACTGGACTGTGTATCTAGATACACTTCTCCTGACTGGACTGTGTGTCTAGATACACTTCTCCTGACTGGATTGTGTGTCTAGATACACATCTCTTGACTGGACTGTGTATCTAGATACACTTCTCCTGACTGGACTGTGTGTCTAGATACACTTCTCCTGACTGGACTGTGTGTCTAGATACACTTCTCCTGACTGGACTGTGTGTCTAGATACACTTCTCCTGACTGGACTGTGTGTCTAGATACACATCTCCTGACTGGACTGTGTGTCTAGATACACATCTCCTGACTGGACTGTGTGTCTAGATACACTTCTCCTGACTGGACTGTGTGTCTAGATACACATCTCCTGACTGGACTGTGTGTCTAGATACACATCTCCTGACTGGACTGTGTGTCTAGATACACTTCTCCTGACTGGACTGTGTGTCTAGATACACATCTTCTGACTGGACTGTGTGTCTAGATACACTTCTCCTGACTGGACTGTGTGTCTAGATACACATCTTCTGACTGGACTGTGTGTCTAGATACACTTCTCCTGACTGGACTGCGTGTCTAGATACACATCTCCTGACTGGACTGTGTGTCTAGATACACTTCTCCTGACTGGACTGTGTGTCTAGATACACTTCTCCTGACTGGACTGCGTGTCTAGATACACATCTTCTGACTGGACTGTGTGTCTAGATACACTTCTCCTGACTGGACTGTGTGTCTAGATACACATCTCCTGACTGGACTGTGTGTCTAGATACACATCTCTTGACTGGACTGTGTGTCTAGATACACATCTCTTGACTGGACTGTGTGTCTAGATACACATCTCTTGACTGGACTGTGTGTCTAGATACACATCTCTTGACTGGAGTGTGTATCTAGATACACTTCTCTTGACTGGACTGTATGTCTAGATACACATCTCTTGACTGGACTGTGTGTCTAGATACACTTATCCTGACTGGACTGTGTATCTAAGAACACTTCTCCTGACTGGACTGTGTGTCTAGATACACTACTCCTGACTGGACTGTGTGTCTAGATACACATATCCTGACTGGACTGTGTGTCTAGATACACATCTCTTGGCGGGACTGTGTGTCTAGATACACATCTCCTGACTGGACTGTGTGTCTAGATACACTTCTCCTGACTGAACTGTGTGTCTAGATACACATATCCTGACTGGACTGTGTGTCTAGATACACATCTCTTGACTGGACTGTGTGTCTAGATACACATCTCCTGACTGGACTCTGTGTCTAGATACACATCTCCTGACTGGACTGTGTGTCTAGATACACATCTCTTGACTGGACTGTGTATCTAGATATACATCTCTTGACTGGACTGTGTGTCTAGATACACTTCTCCTGACGGGACTGTGCGTCTAGATACACTTCTCCTGACTGGACTGTGTGTCTAGATACACTTCTCCTGACTGGACTGTGTGTCTAGATAGACTTCTCCTGACTGGACTGTGTGTCTAGATACACTTCTCCTGACTGGACTGTGTGTCTAGATACACTTCTCCTGACTAGACTGTGTACACTTCTCCTGACTGGACTGTGTGTCTAGATACACATCTCTTGACTGGACTGTGTGTCTAGATAAACTCCTGACTGGACTGTGTGTCTAGATACACATCCTTTGACTTGACTGTGTGTCTAGATAAACTCCTGACTGGACTGTGTGTCTAGATAAACTCCTGACTGGACTGTGTATCTAGATACACATCTCCTGACTTGACTGTGTGTCTAGATACACATCTCCTGAGTGGACTGTGTATCTAGATACTCATCTCCTGACTGGACTGTGTGTCTAGATACACTTCTCCTGACTGGACTGTGTGTCTAGATACACTTCTCCTGACTGGACTGTGTGTCTAGATACACTTCTCCTGACTGGACTGTGTGTCTAGATACACTTCTCCTGACTGGACTGTGTGTCTAGATCAGGGGTCCGGAAACCGTCATATGCGCCGGACATGTCCGATTGGGAATCTCAAATGTCCGTTTTAAAATATTGCTTACCGGACATTTTAAAAAGTATTGTCCAGACATTCTTAAATTTTGACCGGACATGATCAACAGTTAGGACTGAGCAGTTTCTGTCTGCAGTTGCAACACAATGAAGATTAACTACACTGACAAGCTTTGTTTGTTTTGATTGCTGTAAATACATCGTACCTACATGATAGTCCAATCGGTCAATCACTGTAATAGGCAATAAACTGAGTTGACACTGATTAATCGAGGATTAATTACTGAGAACATCTTGTTAATTTGAGTGAAAGGTGTTTACAACTGTACATTAATACCTTGCATCATCGATGTACCTCATTATCCTCATAATGCTACGATACGTAACCTCAGACAAGAAGCGAAAGCGTGACGACAGCCAGTCGACCGATGCAGATTAGTCGAGCGGATCTGCCAAACCCTCAAAGTCTGGACGATCATTTTTTAAGTCGTGGCTAACGACTTTCACTTGGTTGACATACAATGAGGATTTGCAGATTTTATTGTTTTCAGTAGCTAGTCGTATATTGAATCTTGATTGACCGCCATTTGCTTTCTCGGACGATCGATATCCAATTTTTTTATGGTCAATAATTAAGTACAGATGAAAAAAGTATTTAAATAACTATTGCTATCAACGATATTTTAGTATTTGTGATTAAATTATCTGTCTTGTTTTTAAAAAAATCTTTAGTTTAAAAAAAAACTTTTCCCGGAGGTCACGTGATAACCAAATATGGGATAATAGTCTCAATCCAAATGTTACAACGCGTACACTTGAGCAGACTCATGAATATAACTCATGAATATTAATTTGACCGTTCACTACGTTAACAGATCGTTATTATCACAGAAACAAACATATTTTTTCCATGTAAATCTAAAATGATATTGTTTGTTATTAATTGTCCGGTGAAACAATTCATAATTCATCATATTATGAATACGTAAACTTGTAATGTGTGTGAAAAGTCGTACTAAAATACGCTATTTGAAGGGGGCGTGGCCTAAATGCAAATGTCCGATTGGGATTTTAAATTTTCCGGACCCCTGGTCTAGATACACATGCGTTTACTCGACCGTGTATCTAGATACACATCTCTTGACTGGACTGTGTGTCTAGATAAACTCCTGACTGGACTGTGTGTCTAGATACACATACGTTGACTGGACTGTGTGTCTAGATACACATCTCTTGACTGGACTGTGTGTCTAGTGTGAGTGAGTGAGTTGGGTTTTACGCTGCTTTTAACATTATTCCAGTTATATCACGGCGTGTCAGCTTAATGTGGGAGGAAAGCCTGAAGTGATGCAGGTCTAAGACGTTTACCACTTCGGTGAAACCCACGAGCACGGGTATGGTGCTGACAAACCTACAAACATAATTGGGGCGAACCGGGATTCAAACCCACAATCATAGGTTTCTGGCGTGCCCAAGGGACGCAACTCTGCACAGCGAATCGTGGCGCCTTAGACGACTGGGCCACCCGTGCCCCCACTGTGTGTCTAGATAAACTCCTGACTGGACTGTGTGTCTAGATACACTTCTCCTGACTGGACTGTGTGTCTAGATACACATCTCTTGACTGGACTGTGTGTCTAGATACACTTCTCCTGACTGGACTGTGTGTCTAGATACACTTCTCCTGACTGGACTGTGTGTCTAGATACACTTCTCCTGACTGGACTGTGTATCTAGATACACTTCTCCTGACTGGACTGTGTGTCTAGATACACATCTCCTGACTGGACTGTGCGTCTAGATACACTTCTCCTGACTGGACTGTGTGTCTAGGTACACTTCTCCTGACTGGACTGTGTGTCTAGATACACTTCTCCTGACTGGACTGTGTGTCTAGATACACTTCTCCTGACTGGACTGTGTGTCTAGATACACTTCTCCTGACTGGACTGTGCGTCTAGATACACTTCTCCTGACTGGACTGTGTGTCTAGATACACTTCTCCTGACTGGACTGTGTGTCTAGGTACACTTCTCCTGACTGGACTGTGTGTCTAGATACACTTCTCCTGACTGGACTGTGTGTCTAGATACACGTCTCCTGACTGGACTGTGCGTCTAGATACACTTCTCCTGACTGGACTGTGTGTCTAGATACACTTCTCCTGACTGGACTGTGTGTCTAGATACACTTCTCCTGACTGGACTGTGCGTCTAGATACACTTCTCCTGACTGGACTGTGTGTCTAGGTACACTTCTCCTGACTGGACTGTGCGTCTAGATACACTTCTCCTGACTGGACTGTGTGTCTAGATACACTTCTCCTGACTGGACTGTGTGTCTAGATACACTTCTCCTGACTGGACTGTGTGTCTAGATACACTTCTCCTGACTGGACTGTGTGTCTAGATACACTTCTCCTGACTGGACTGTGTGTCTAGATACACTTCTCCTGACTGGACTGTGTGTCTAGATAGACATACGTTGTCTGGACTGTGTATCTAGATAC